CTCGTCGGGAGGAACCTGCATGGGCGAGCTGGTTTAAAAATCAGCTCGCTGGGAGGAACCGCTGCCCAGCGAGTTGGCCTGTAGACGCTCGCCGGGAGGAACCCCTCCCGACGAGCTGGTTTAAAAACCAGCTTGCCGGGAGGGATTCCTCCCGGCGGTGTGGCCTCTTGGCACCGGGTATCCCAAGGGATACCCGGATACCCGCCAGTATTTCAGGTGGAAGGGTGCATCCGCACCCGCTGGCGGGTATCCGCTGGCACTGGCGGGTATCCGCTGGCACTGGCGGGTATCCGCTGGCACTGGCGGGTATCCGCCAGCAGATAGCGGATATCCACGGCGGATTATCCGCAACCATCTCTAAATCACGGGAGAAACTACCAGGGGGAAGAGTAGGGTTAATTGAGTAACTGATCTTTATTTGTAATGATCTGTTATAGCTGTCATAGTATTTACTAGAGTATCAGTAGCTAGTATTTGTGACGTGTACAGCTTAACAGATCCTTCAACTTAAAGTAACAAATAAGGATCAGTACATGTATTGATTTTATTAATTCAATTGGTGATGCCAAACAATACATGAATATTTTATTTGCAATGATTCTTGTCCGTGATGACTTGGGGGACAAGGATAATTAATGATGAAGTCATTATTAAGATCACACAATAAATAATGAGGTCAGTATTAAAGTCAGTACATGTATGGATTGTATTCATTCAATGATTAATTGACACTTAACACTCAAGGTATGTACATATTTCTTTATACAGTTATTTGAACGTGAAAATACTGTAGAACAGGGATAACTTGTGGTACAGGTATTTCACTGTTAAAGGAGTGAAAGGTAAGTGATAATTACTTATGTATGAAGCATGTATGTATTTAATAGATAAGTAATTAATCAGATAAGATAAAGTTAGATAAGATAAGTTAGAGATAATGATAAGATAACAAGAGGTAAAGGTAATCAACATTATGGATAAGTACTTGTGTACATAAGTACAGGTGTTGCAGTTACTTGGTACATGAAAGGTACTGTGACATGTACTCTGTGGCTGACACCAGTGATGAAGTTCAGTTGTAAGATGAAGGTAAAAGAATAATGCTTTCTGGAGTCATGAGGAGGGAAGAAACGAGTTTGACAAAAAGAGAACTCTATATATGTGAGACTATGTAGTATTTACCCCCAATTTTGGGGAGTTGGACTTGGTGATATTTTGATGACCTTTTGCCCCATTGGAGGGTGTTGCTTGACTTTTGATGACATTTTGCCCCTTTGGGGCGTGTTGCATGAGTTGGGCACCTGTCTCAGTCTAACATTGGGGTCAACAAATTTGAATCCCAGGTCGACACCGGCGTTAGATTGCATGACACTTTGTTTGGCTCTCTGAGCCTATTCTTTTAGTTATATGTAGATAAGAGATAAGTGCAGTGGTGATGTCATTGTGAAGTTGACTGATTATGTAAACAATTCAACTTAGGAAAAACACTACTAGAGTATGAGAGTGATTGAGATCAGATCTCAACAATGTTTTCCCATGGGTCATGACTCACCATGTGGGTGCATACATACGTTTCAAGCAGCCTTAAGTGGAGATAGATGTCTTGAATTTGGACTCTGGGAAATATCCTGCCAGGGTGTCTCAGGAGACAAAGAGTTTGAAATTTCTCCTAAACTCTATTTGTAATATAAGGTCATTCCCAGCTAATAGCAAAAGACACTTGTGGTTTATCCACCACACTTTATGGCGAATCAATGTTGGTGACTCCAATCTGTTTGTATCTAATCCTTGCATAGTACAGAATAGGGGAAGCGTGCATGTGGGTTGTTTACGTATGCAATCAAGTTTGTGGTACTTATTTAGAACCAAGAATTAAACTCTTCAAAGGATACATTAAATCTGATTTCAAAGTGAAAGGGTTGGGAATAGACTGTATCCATGAGCCTATTGCAATCACATTCATTAGGAATCAATCACATTCTCCAAACTCTTTCCTTGACTTTTGTGGCACATTCACGACTTGTTATTGCAAGCTACACCTCCCCTAGTTCCTCACATGATGCTTCATACACCAATTGAGGATCGAATAAACAAATATTTAATTGAGCATATTGATATTTCTTTTCTTGTGTGTGTGTGTGTTTTTTTTTTTTGAAAAGTCAAGGTGATGTGGGTTAAGAAACTACTGCTACCATTTTTGATAAAAACCATAAAGATGTTCTTCTGAGAAAAGAGCAAAAGATATGAACCAAGTCTGTAACCATACACAAAAAGCCATACAATCTCCCCTCAAACATAAAGGGAGTTTCTTTTTTTCTGGGGGGGGGGGGGGAGTCTAAGAATAATTTTCAGTCTTCATATCGTTTAAGCCCAGCTCCTCATTCTGATCGAAGCTGCGCTCGTACTCGATCTTCTCGATTGCCGGATCATCGTCGGGCGCGTAGATGTTCTGGATAAACGAGTTCGAGATCGGGTCGTCTAGGATCACCGTGAATGGCGTCTCTGCCGAAATGATCTACGAAAAAGGGAATTTCGGATGTGGTGGTGTTGTGATCGGGCAGAGGAAAAGAAGAAGAGATGAGAAGATCCGTTTTTGGATTGATGTGTGTGAGAGAAGACTGACTCTTTTGAACTTGTTCAAGAATAGTTCCATCGATGATTTCGAATGATTTTGTTTGTCCTCGGCCTGGCCCATCTTCAGTGGAAGGGTTTTGGAGAGAAGAGGATGGGGCAACGGAGTCGCCTCTAGCGAAGACCTTCTGATCGAGTTCATCGAAGACTTGATTGAGGAGGCTTCGAGAGTGGTGAATCTACCGCCGAGGGTTCCGGGGTTAAGATGAAGGTCGATCTCGGGGATCGAGAGTTCGGCGGTCTCGGACTTGAGGATATCTCGTGCAAGGTCCTCCTTATCGGAGACCTTGAGGACCAGCTTGGTGCCCCGAGGCGAGATGGCGGTGGCCGACTTGACCTCGTTGTCCTTGTATCCACACGTCCCACAGTTGGTCGACATGAGGATGATCTCCTTGAAGTGCGGGATCTCGATCTTCTTCATCCGGGTGTTCAGGGTGTGTCCACACGAGCCGCAGGTGCTTGGAAACGAGTACACCTCCTCTGGATCCTCCCCCTCGTAGTCGTCCGTCAGCCCCTGGGCGCTCTCGCCCGGTTGGGGGACCAGACCAAGCTCCGCATTCTGCTCAGTCGTCCGATTGAATTCTCGTTTCGACCAGTTCGGGTCATCGAGTCCGTCGATCGCCTCGATGAAGCTGTTGCCGGTGATGTCCTCCAGCTCGACGGTCACCGGCTGGGAACGAAACTGGAGGATGGCGGTGAGCTTCTCCAAGAGCTCTTCGATCTTTTGGTAGACCAATGGGTCGAGATGTTTCCGGGCGGGTTGGTTGAGACTGAGGTCGTCGATCGTGTCCCTGATCAGGCCTTCGATCGTCGTCATCTTCCCGTTCCCCTTAGGGATCTCCAGCTCGAGCTCTTTGATCTTGATCTGCCCGTGCTCTGACTTGATCACCTGCCGGTTCAGGTCCACCGGTTGATGGACATTCTTGATCGTGTAGATCGCCCCTCGCGGCTGGATCTGGCCGGCCGATTGGATCGAGTTGTTCGAGTGATGACAGTGCGGACAACGGAACGAGACGACGATGACCTCTCTGAAGAAGGGGATCGAGGTCAGTAACATCCTCGTACTGCCCTGTGCACAAATTTCAATCACTGGTCAGTTTCTAGCCTGTCCTAAGTTATCCACTTGATGAAGAAGAGTCCCAGCGTACATTTTTTCCACAATTCATGCAAAGACTTTCGATCGAGTCGACTCCTTCGGGCATGCATACTTCCTCCTCTCCCTGATCATCATCATCCTTCGCTTCCCGGTCCTGTTGATCTTGCGCTGTCCCAGCTTGGCCCAATCGTTCGGCAGTATCTCCGATGGGCTCGAAGAAGTTTGTCTGTTCTTGCTGGTTTTGTTCGTCTTGGTTGGTGGTTTGGTTGATAGACATGGCTCGTGTGTTGTTATTATTATTTTTTTTACTGTAACTGGATAAATTTCCAAAAAAAAAGAAAAAGGAAACCCAGACACCATGACCATGCCTGTGACATGTTCCAACATTATCTCATACTTGGGCACAACAGTTTTGATAATTTCATACTCTGATTAAAAATTCAGCTCAACATTCCCAGCCTTGGATCACTTTCACAAAAGTAGCAATCAAAGCTGGAACTATCATTACACTCAGAAGATAAGTTAAAAAGTTTTCATTCTTGGTGGTATGTACCTCAAGTGGATCAAGGAATTCACAAGGGAAAACAGGCAAATGGTTCTATGTAAGAGCCTCACATGATTCCAAATGAGAAAAACCAAACTAAGGCTTGGTAAAACGTGTTGTGGGATATCTCATGAGAGAGCATGTATGCCACTCAGAGGAAAAGAGAAACAAAACAATAGGAGGAAACATTTGGGAATGTACATATCAAAAAGATAAAGCATATCCAAATTTATTTTTGAGAATCTGAAATTCTTTGATGACCTGTATCCCTCATCCTTTTGATGAAGTATCTCGTTAAAATATTAAAAAGATCTCCATCTCTTGATATTCAAAGAAAACATTTGATCTGACTTCTTCCTTTTAGTTTGAGGATGTTCAACAGCCTCTTTGGGATTGGATAAGTCTTTTAAGTATGATGAGATTGTTTGAAGTTTTGAGGAAGTAATTCCTCCATGGAAATAGCTTCAGGTTTGCCATCTCCTTAAACCCATTGAGCATGAAGTATTCATGCAAGAATCTTTCTCCAGTCCGTTTGGTTATCCGAACCAAGCTCGAGATGAAGATGGATTCATTTGGAAAAACCTGCAAGAACTTGCCAGTGTTAGACTTGAAGTAATAAGCAATTATGACTTGCACTGCAGCCCTAGTCATCATCTTTGACTTCTGTTCTTCATTCCCCCTTGGATCAAAATTCAACACTTCTAGAATCCTCTGTTGAGTGGGATGTTTGATCATGGACTTGGATTTTGAACTTATGTTGTTATAGAACGAGTTTGTTTGAGGATTATCTGAGCAAGTCAGGAGAGAATGAAATTCATTGTGAACTCTAGATTGCTCATCTAAAAACAAATCGTCTTCAGGATGGAGGCCTAAGCTAAGCATCAATCTGAAATTCAACTTCAAAATAATATTCAAGATAGCTCGTACTTCCTGAAGAAAAACGGTTATTTCCATCAATCTAGGATAAGAATTCAATCCATTTTGGGGTGTTTGATGCTGTGAAGCCATCCATTGGATTGTATGTGAGTTGATCAAAGTTCCTCTTACAGATGAGCTTTTCATGAACTTGTTGTAGTTCCTTGTGAGCACAGAAATGACTCCCCATGTGGCTTCAGGGACACTATCAAGAACATTCTCAATTTGTATATCAAACTCATTGGGGATATTCCCAACTTCATTCTCTTGATCATGAAGATGATCTTTTTTGGGTATCTCTTTCACATACTGATCAATGTTCATATGATTTTCTAAAGAAAATGGACCATTGGTTCTGATTTTTTTCATGGTGTTTAATCCTGTATGCGGTTCCTGAATATTGTGCCAAGGGAAGAATTTGATATCTTGAATCCGTTTCTGTAATACCTTGAAAGATTTTTTGTGTGCAGTGGTTCCTGAATCCCAGAGCTGAATTTTTGCTAGAGCAATATTGAAAATGAAATGGTGTGGAAACAAAACTTCCCACTTGGTCATTATCTTTTTTTTGTGTGCTTGCAGGTTGGAATTGGGGAGATTGATTTTTGGTTCATAGTATGATTGCATCACTTTGACTACAGCTTCTGCCATGAATATCTGATTTGGACAAACTGATTCAACCAGTATTTCATTCCAAGGCTGGATGATACTGTGTGTTGGATATGTATATCTGGCAGAGAGGGCTTTGATAATCAGACTTTGAACATAATTATCCTTGGTTTGAGAGCTAGATCCAGAAACAAGATCCAAAACCCATTCAAGCATGCTTGATTGCTCTTGATAATATTCCTCATCTGTTGGATTCAAAATCCTTAAAAATTTTGAATTCACACACCAGAGAAGATGGCTGAATTCTTTGAAGCTATTGCTAGAATTTGGTTCTGTCAATTCATCAATTGAAGCAAAGTCTTTTGAACTCATGGGTGGATGGAGAGCTGAGGCAAGAGATCTGATAAATCTTGAGATGTCTTCCTTTTTGTAGTCCACAATTTCCTGATAAACTGCTTGAGAAATGCCCAGCTTCATTGTGTAGATCCAGGCCCAGACATGAGGACCTTCATGGTAAAAATATGCATTTTTCCATGGCAATTCACTTTCCATAATTGGGTCCTTTTTTCCAGACTCATAGCCTTTCTTATCTGTGTTCAGGCTTTTGACATAATTTTCAACTTGCAAATTGTTTTTTGGAAAGTAATTTTTAGCATGTGCTTCTAGTACTTGTCTCTGAAAACCCCCAAGCAAGTTGGAGCTTTTATCTAAGAGTGAAGAAACAAATGGAAGTTTTGCTTCATCTCTAACCAATTTCATAAGGTTCTTTGTCACACCTGCTTCTTTGGAAGTAGTTCCAAAATTATGGGTTTCAAAAATTTTCCTAGTAGTTGGATGGCTATCTGCAGGTGATTGAAATTTTAGGTCAACTTTATCAAACCTGTAATGTTTCTTGAAACAGGAAATAAGACTCAAAAACAACCACGCTAACTGAGATTTAAGCTGAGCCAATTGGCATCATTGATTTGCCATCCAAGTTGGGAATCACTTGTCTGCTCATTGTCCACAACATGGGCCTTCAGTTTTTTCCCTGGATTAAGTTTGTTTGGATGGTCATCTGGATCCGGGAGAAGGGAATTTACTCCCTGAGGATAACAGTTTTTCCTCTTAGAACCACCCTCTTGGGCTGCAGGTCCTTCCCACTGGCCTATCAAAAAAACAAATTTTCAGCAACCTGCATGCTTCTGATGGGTATAAGCAAGATTGTGGAAACGCAAAAACTCACTCAAGAAATCAATCTCACGGCTAACTTCTCTACCTTCATAGCTCTGGAGGCCTCTTCTACTGAGCCTATGGTGAGTTGATTCTGGAGCCAACATTTTGGAAAATCTATTTAAAGATATTATTTACATCCAGTCAGTAATCAGCCCCAATAACTTTATAGGCATCATTTGATTTTATCAAGTACTTAACCTTTTTATGCAGATACTGTCCTCCTTTGGATTCAGTGTTTCTATAGATGATGTAGAAAGGATTGATTTGACTTGGAATTGAGCCAGGATGGCAAGGAAAGTGCCCCCTGAAATTGCTTTCATACTGGTACGTATATTGATGTTACCTCAATTTGTTGATTTGTAAATTCAAGTTTGATGGAGTGAATATTTCAGGAATCAGGAAGATTTGTTGGCTGTAGAAAGAAAGACTGGCAAAGCTTTATTTCCATGTGAGACTAATTATTGCACAACATGTTTTGATTTAGAGCTGATTCAGCCCTGAATAGGCTGCAGAAAAATTCTTTCCTTGGTTAATGTGTCTGGACAAAGAGATTGTTTCTGATTAGCATGAATGATTACATTGTTCAACACAAAAAATTGTATACAATCTTGTATAAACCAAAAAAACAGCATGCACAGTGACTTGCCTTACAGAACCTCAAACCACCAACTTGAGGTTTCAAAGCTTGATAGAGTGTTATTAGGGGGTATCAAATATGGAAAATATGAAAACTTAAAACATCATTTTCTCTTGGACTGTTTCACCCCCTTTCATGAAACTATGATGAAAAGGTGGAGTTTAATGTAATGAATTTTTATTGTAACACTTCATTTGTAAAAATTTATTGGTTGAGGAGAAATTGGTATTTTAAGTTTTGAAAATTTTCATATTTGATACCCCCTAATAGAATGAAATATATTCACAACAAATGATAAAGTTTTTTGTCTTCTTTTTTTCTCCAAAACATTACATTAAAAAAACGAGATCCCTTCCTCGTCCCACCCACTGAGCAATTAATTAGACCCACCAATTGAGTCACATCCATTTTCTTTCTTTGTGCTCATGAGTTGTTCATCTCAATTTGATGTGTTATCTGCTGCGCTTTAACCTGAAGGTGGGATAAACAAGGGCTAAATTAAAGTAAGCCAGGGATAGTGGAACAAAAATATTTTCAAAAGCCGTACAATTACAAGCCAAGAAAGGGTTTGTGCAACAACTGATGCTGTGAAGTAAATCCCTCCTGGATCTTGGGTGTTGGGTGAATGAAGCATTAGGATTCAATTACCAATTTTCAAAGGGTTGATCAAGCCATGTCCAAGATCTGCCCTCAGTCATCAGGCTCAAATCCAATTCTGTAGGGTCTACAGATGCTCAAATCCTCCATTTGTTTTCAGCTACTGAAAAAAAAAATCTCAATCAATCTTTCTGGTGTAAATTATTTTTGTAGGACAGCTTGCTTCTCAACTCAACAGGCTCAAGAGTCAAGGAGACTATGTATAGTTCTCCATGAGAGTTGTGGATCCAAAAATACAGTCAAACCTGTCTAAGGGCATACCCCTTGGCAGAAGGATTTTTGTATGCCTTTGAGCAGGCTATATATACCCAGCTTGGAGGGAATCAATTTGCAGCAAAATCAAGACTGGGGAGAAACCCTAATTCACCATGCACTTATACAGCTCACATATCCACACAGAAAGGTATGTCCTTAGACAGGTTTTTTGACTCCAGCAAGTATGTACAGTCACCTACCAGATGTTTATAGCCAGTTTGTTTGGATCACACATACCCAACACACTAACTTGAAAACATGACACTTGAGCCAGTGGTATAAAATATGTTTCAAAAAATGATTCTGAAAACAAAAATGCAAAAAACTAATTTTTGGAAATTTGCAAAAAATATTACAGTTATTTCACTTTTTTCAGAAGTTTTTGTGAATTAATAGACTAAGAATTGTATTTAATGAGTGCCAGCTTAAGGCAATACAAGATGAGAAGAAAGAAGAAAAAGAGAAGAGATAATCACCTAAGAGCAGTAGATGACTAATAATAAGAAAAACAATATACTTGAATACTATAAAAATGAGTGAATGAAGAGAGAAGTCTAACAAAAGAGAGTGAGTTAATATAAGAACATCAATGAGGAGAGATGGATGACAAGAACCTATGATGATTGAGGACAGGTTTCAAGGAAGAGGAGGTCAATGATTTGTTGGATGGAAGGGAATAGTTGATAAAAAGATCAACATGGAAGAGAGATGGTGTAAGACGAGATAAGATTGTTCATCGAGATGAAAATTTTGACGTAGGAGAAGAGTTGTGAGGATGAGCAATGAAGTAAGACGTGAGAAGATGTTTGTCTTATAAGAGTGGTTAGATCAGATTCAGAGAAAGATCATCATTAAGCAAGAAGTACAATGATGGGGAACTGGTAAAATGTGATGAGGTCCTGAGGTCAAGAACAGTTGAGAAGAGATGAGGGATGATAAGGAAAAGAAGGAATCGGGAAAAGATGAGAGGGTTCATGCACGATGATGTGATTGCAAAGGCTTGAGAACTTTGAGGGTTCAAGCACAATGATGTCATTGTGAGTATAGAGTATTTTGATCTTGAGTATGAAACTGGTCTAGAGCATGAGTTAAAGCTTAGACATCAACAGTTTTAATATTGCTCCAAATGAAAAAAATAAAAATTGGAAATTGGAGTAGGGTATGCTGGAGGAATGATAATGAATGAAAATTTTGAAAAAAAAAATGGATACCAGATGGTTTTTAAACTGGTGTGGAGTGGAGAATTCACCAGACTCATGGTGGAAAAGGCAGTGTGATCAAATTCAACCTGCATTTTGCCCTGGATATTACTGAGCTCTGAATAATTTCTGGAGTTCATTTTTTTCATTTGTCATCATTTTCCTTGCTTACCATATTACTACTCTTTCCAATTTTTATTATTTTATGACTTGGAGCAATAATGAAACTTTTGAAAAAAAAAACGTGCATGCAATAACGGTATAAATATTTTAATTTTGCAGATTTCAAAAATCAGTTGTTCATAAATCCTTTTGTTTACAGAATCATTCTTTGGAACCTACATATTTTATAATTATATCACTTGCCCATGTGTCATGATTTCAAGCCGGAGCTGTGTAATCCAAACAAGCTGGCTATAAACATCTGGTAGGTAGGTGACTGTACAGTGGGTGGACCATTATTTTTGGCTGCCTTTTTTGGACCCCAGAGCTCCGAAACACAGACTTGAAGTTATGAGACTTGTTCAGGTGGTGCATAATAGGTCCCAGAAAATGGATATGAGAAAATAAAAACAAAAAGTAAAGTTACAAAATTTGTGAAAAATAGAAAATAAAACTGATTTTTTGTCAAAAGCTTTGATAATTATTTTGGGGGAGTGGGAGTGCTGAGAGAAAGAAAGAGGGGAACATGGGAAGAATGATTATAAATGAAAAAATTTGGAACCAAAAAAGGTTGAGCCAGGTTGGTTGTCCAGATTGGAGTCAAAACAGTAAATTCTAGTGCTTTACTGCAATGTGAGCTGGTGAATGCGCCACACAACAACTGGTTAAAACTATATGGTAACCACTTTGTCCAAAATTTTCATTTATAATCATCCTTCCTGTTTCCCATTCTTTCTTTCTCTCTGCACCTCACACTTCCCCAAAATGAATATCATTAAAGCTTTTGAAAAAAAAATCAATTTTATTTTTTAATTTTCACAAAATTTGAAACTTTATTTTTTGCTTTTATAATTTCATATTCATGTTTTGGGACCTATTATGCACCACCTGACCAAGTCTCAAGATTTCAGATTTGTGTTTTGGAGCTCTGGAATCCAAAATAAGCAGCCACTTTTCACTGTCTAGGCACTGTACATATCATGGGGAAACACTCTCTGGATGCAGAATTTTCTCAAACTTGACACAAGTCTCTGGCTGCGGCGGGCGCATCTGGCAGCATAGCGCTGGCCAGGCGGTTCCCGGGGGAGACTTGGGCCAGAGGCCGACAAACTCAGGTGCTGAGTTTGGATTGTTTTGGTGGGAGCGTCACAAGATTTGAAATCCTGATGGTCCCTCAAAAGTTTCTTGATGTTTGGTCTCAAGTTTTTAAAGACCTGCCTGATCTTATTGATCAGGCCAAATTTCAAAGTTTTAGAATCACAACATGAGGAATTAATCATGATTTTCTAAAATCAAGGTTTGAACTTTTTTTCGAGCTCAAATGCGGGCTTTGCTGATCAACTTGAGCCCACCAAAATTAGAAGCCAAGTTGAGTGGAAAATTCAACCTTTTCAAAATCATTCTATACATGATTAGCCTGCAACATAACAAACAAACTGAACACAGGGAAATGTGGACAAGAAGCAGGCTTTCCCTGACCCGGAAGGAAATTACATGGATGTGGGGATTGTCACATTTGTCTTAGGCCTCCACTGGCATGGACAGCTCCGCTGCTCGCTCCCGCTCCCGCCGTAGAGGCCTACATAGTTAGGCTCGGAATCTTCTATGTATTATGGTTTTCGGGTTCGATGGCTTACGTAATCGTCTGTGCAACCCCATGGTCGACAACCACACACCATGAACCAACGACGTGGTTCAACAGACTCGGAAGCCCCAGACCGGCCAAGAAAAGAGACCACAAACAGATAGCAGAAGAGAGCCACAGAAACATGGACATCCCCTCCGACCCGATCCCCAAGAACTTCGATGCCGCCAACGCACCCAACTTGCCCGAAGTCAGTCTCTGCTCATCATCATCATCATCATCATCTCCTCCTCCTCTTCCTCATCTTTTTTTTTTGTTGATGATTGAGCTCAATTTGCTCTTTTTTTTTTTTAGATCGAGAAACAGTTGAGTGGTCGTTAGATATACAGAGAGATATGTCTCTCCGTGTGTGCTTGCGAGATAGAGAGAGAGATTTGTCTCTTGGATGATGGTGATGATGAAACTGATTCTGAAACGGTGGCCTCCCAGATTCGCAGTCCGATGCATCGAGCAAGCCGAGACTTACTGGAACCTACTCGGCGCGATCCCGCCGAGCAAGATGAAGCTAACCAAGTAAGTCGACGGCCGAGACTTCCCCCCTGAGATATATCCCCCTCCCCTCCCTCTCAGACTGATCATCGATCATCATCTTCCCCACCATCGGACACCCACCAAGACATGACGACGAGATCCTCAAGGAGTTCCAGGCCGCGTTCCCGGCGATGGCGGCAAACAAGGACGGGGCGTTGCAGAGGATCGACGAGGGTTCGTTGAAGAGTCCGGAGGGCAAAGAAGCCTGGCGCAAGTACATCAAGCTCTTCGAATCCACCGGTCAGTCATCCCCCCCTCTTCATAATCCTTTCCCTTAATCAAAACTCTCACATTTTTTTTGGGCGGGCCCGATAGTGTCGGACTATAATTTCGGCACCTTGATTCGGACAAATGCGGCCGAAGACTACACCGAGAAAAACACGATGTTCATCACCCGGATCCAGTTCTATGCCATCGAGATCTGTCGGAACAGGCTCGGCTTGAACGACCATGCCCATCAACTGGCCAAGAAAGAATGGGCCGCTAAACAGGCTAAACGATCTTAGCCCAATCTCTCCTTTTTTTAATTTGTCTGCTTTTTTTTTTCTGCTGTCGATTGTAAGTGTGAGTGTTATTGTCATTCTTAGATGGAGAGGTCGGGTTTCCAACTGAGACAGAGAAACGAAAAGAGAGAAGACCGGTGAGACTCTGTCCACATACACACAAACAAACAGGCCCAGATCCCAGCTAGAAAGAAGCCGAATCGACGGGAGAGAACAGTGTTTTCTCTTCCTGCTCCTTGTATTTCTTTTTTTTTTTTTTGGCGCATGAACAATCGACATCTTTGCAAAAGAAAGAAGAGAGAGGTCTGAAGACACACAAGATGATGAAAGCACCTGATGAAGATCTCTGAAATGTATGCTTGATGACCAATCCAACTTGACAGCTGCGCAATGCCCTCATCACATCCCACCAAAAGACTCCCCTTGTAGCTCTCCCCAAGTCTATATGGTCTCCCAGACACACACACACCCTAGAAACTGGAACACACCCTCCAACCATAGAACACACTAAAACAAAAACACCAAACCAATCAACCCAATGTTTCAAAAGGGGCTCTGCATCAACCATAACCAAAAAAGAAAAAAATCTATCATTTCTATCTATGTCCTTCTCAGTTACTCTTGGCACGATTTCTTTTTTTGGATAACAGACAAAAAAAAACAAATGGAAATCAAGCTACAAAACATTTTGCTCATTCATCATTCTAAAAAAAAAGGGGAAAAAAAGGAAAAGCGAGGCAGAAGAATGGAAAAGGAAAAAAAATAGAGATAAGATAAGGTGTGGAGTGAAAGCAGTGCAAGTAGAGAAAGATATGTTTGTAAACTGAAAAAAAACCAGGACTGTTGATGTCAGTGATAGAACCAATTGGTCTTTTTTTTTACCACGTGCAATAACCACTGAACGAAGGAAAGCGTTAATTGGTCAGTCAAGTAAAGAAAAAAACAAGGAAATCCCATACGTAAAGAGAGTTGAAACAAACCCATCAATCAAGAGATCGGTGCCCGTAGTAAAGGAAGACGCATCGCTGGCTAGATACAATGCGCCTCCGTTCAAGTCCGACACATGTCCCATTCTTCCAACCGGTCTATTTCAATCCCCAAAAGAAAAGAGTTTCAGAAAAAAAAAAGGAATAAGATGGAGAAAACCATTGTACTGACGTCCTTTCAAACCAAGTTTTCTTCAAGAGTGGACTATTATAAAAAGAAACAGACGGGGGGGGAAAAAAAAAAGAAGAAGATTAGTTAAGGGAATGTCGAGGAAAACATGAAGATCAAACAGAACATACTCGAATTTTTCGACTAATAAGGTGTTCATATAGCCCGGGGAGATCGAGTTGCAACGGATTTTATGAGGGGCCCATTCGCTGGAAACAGAACAAAGCGTGCTCAGAGCCGACATGATCAAAACAACAGTAACAAGACATTCTTCACTCGACTTACGCAGCCAAAGATTTCATGAGATGGATGACCGCTGCTTTGCTTGCATTATCTGAATATAGGGCGAGATGAAGTAAGCCAAGGACGAATAATGATCAGGAGATTTGTAGGATATCTCGACGTACAGGCACATTGGGGTTGCGGATAATTAACAATCCTACCAAAAAAAAGAAGAGTGTTCATTGACTGAGCGGGAAAGAGGTTAAGAAAAAGCGGGGAGGACGGACCTTCCACTCATGGACCCAATAAAGATTATCGAGCCTCCTCGGCCGGAGGAAATCATATGCTTGGCACAGCTTTGGGCACAGAAGAAGACACCTGGTGTCGATCGAAAATCGAAGACGAATCAATGGGTTGGTTTTCTAAACAGTCCCTTGAAAGCAAGTCTTGTTATTTACCATTAAGATTGATATCAATAACCTAAGGAAAAGGGGTTGGTTAATAAAGAGATAAAGGTGAAGAGTGAGGTCATAGGGAATTGAAGGACTTGCTCGTTTGAATCGATCGGCAGGGTAATCCTCAGCCGCGATATTATCGGAGACGCCGGCCGAACAAAGCAAGATGTCGACCGAGCCGAAGTCGCGAACGACGCCATTGATCACTTCTTCGACCGCATCGTTGTCTCTCACATCGACTCTATAGAAAGAAGCCGTACTATGTATATTGCCAGGATGCAAAAAAAAAAACAAAAAAAAAAACAATGAGTTTCGAGAAAATCGAGTGGTGCTGAGGATTGCTTACATTCCGAAGTCGGCATGTAACTCCTTGATCGCACTTTCGCCGAACTCTTGTAAGATGTCCAGGATGGCTATGCCGGCCAAGCCGGCCTCACAAAGCCCTCTGGCCATTTCATATCTATACATTGAACACACACTCACACATCAATTTCCGTTAATACAGAGAGAGAAGAAGAAGAAGAAGAAGAAGAAGAACAGACCCAAGTCCGCGAGCACCTCCACTGATCACAGCCACCTTGCCAGTCAACTCGAAGCGCGAAAAGACCCCGCCCGGGCGATGTCGGCTGGGTTGTTGGGTCGTCGGACTGGCCGTCGTCGTCGTCGGCGGCGCTCCTTCCGTGGGCAGGGCCCCTGACAGAGTCGACATCGCATTCATCTCCCTTACTTTCAACTCTCTTTTACGTCTTCTTTCGATTTTCGTGTTTTCGGAGTGTGTGTGTGTGTTTCTTTCGGAAATGTGTAGGTCTTCGAAAATGATAATCGGTTCGAAAACCAATCGATGGCGTTATCGATTTTGTAAGAAAAACAACCCCCAGAAAACTGACCTGGATATGTTTGAATGACGATCCACAAAAGGCAGAGAAAAAAAAACATGAGGTTAGTTGGTTGACCTTAGTTTTGTTTGTGTGGACAGAGAGACGAGGGTAGACGAGGAAGGAACGGTTGAGAGCTTTCAAATTGAGGAGAAGTAAAGTACGCGGATATATTGATTATAAAAAGCGGCGACAAACAGGCGAAGAGGAGCAGGTGAAAGAGTACGGTGAGTGGACTGAATCTGTAGAAGCAGGAGAGAGCGGGATGATGAAGAGCAGCAAAAGAAGTAAATAAGTATGTCTGCTGCTGATGAGAAGCAGATCAAGTGGGGAAGTTATTTGAGTGATTGGGCCAAGCAAGGAACGGAGCGATCGAGATGAGGCTTGGAAAGTTTGTGGCTGTATTGTAAGGAGAGTGGGGTAAACTCTAGTGCGGATGATGAGGAAGCGGGAAGATGGAGGAAGTGTGTGGGGGGGATAGATCTAGCTTATATAACCCTCGCGCGCACGCACGGAGTGCAGGTGCAAGCGAGGCTTATGACTAAAGCTGAGTCGCTTGGAAGTGAGGGGATTGTTATTTTGTCCCTTTTTCGACTATATGTACACTAGCTTGATTTTCTTGCCTGTACATCCAAAATGGACATAATTGACTAACAGAACATGCATGGACATGTCGTGAGAAGCCAATACTATAGTCCCTTTCCGCATCTCGATCCATCTCGCCACATCGCGGCCGGTCTCCCTGTTCTCCCCCCAAATCCATCCAGTCAGCTCCGACCAAGCCATAAAGCTGCGCCAGCTCGCAGCAAACACGCAGCAAGCTTGCCTGATCCAACATGACCTCATTGCGGGCCGGGTTGGGCTAGAACACCAGCCCGGACCCTTATCTTACCCAACGGTCACATCTCATCCTCAAGCTTCAGCCATATCCCGATACGACATACCTGTCCACTGGCTCGACAACGATGACCCGCAACCGATCAACCCGTCCAAACGCCTTCTCCTACACCACAAGCACAGGAACCTCTCGCCGTAGTCGTACCGAAAGAGCGCAGGAAAGGCGAGCACCACAAGACCGACTAGAGGATGAGTTCTATCGTCGGAACATCGCCATTGGACAGGAACTCGGCTTTGTTGATAGATTCCCAGCTCATGAACCTATGAATGACCAACCCGACAACGAACATCACGATATCTTTGAACCTACGATTGGCAGCTATGCAGGATACCAGATTGATGAGACTGAGGCAGAGCTTCCGAGTGCTGCCCATGCAGCATACCATCGAGCCCGACGATACGCCGAGACAAGGGAAATCACCAGTCAACGATGGTCGCAACTTGAAGAAAGTGTCACAGCTACCTTCTTGCTTTGTCAGAAGTTGTCACGGAATTGGACCTGTCATCCCGGAACCTTTGTCTTGCCTTCAAATACGTGCACCTGCGACCCCACAGACATTAACATCCGGAATATTGACTTGTATGATATCCTCCGTAAGTCACACTTTTTATGTACCATTATGACAAGTTTTCTGATTCAAATTTGACTTTTCATGACATCAAAAACAGGCCGAACCCCTGCAGCTCCAGTGCCTTTTTGCAAGTGCCTCCCAGATGTTGTTCGACTCATCCATTATGGATATCTAGCTTGCTCCCCCGAAAAACCACGTACAGCGTTCTCCATCCCCCTCATCCAATTTCACCATTTGCTTTGGCAAAGTGCTGTAGTATCAACCACCGGTTTTGTCAAAGCAATAAGTGCTTTCCTCGATTCACGAAGTCAAACTCCCTCATATGCTCGTGGCTCAAAATATCGCAAACGAAATCTTCGAGTTCCCTTTTCATACAGTGCCGACCTTTACTCTCGAATATTACTCAACCAGAAGAAAATATTTAATGATGGCTTGCAACTCACCAAAACTGAACAGTGGGCAAATCAGTGTCCCCGATGCTTTGGATCTAGCGAACATGAAATCAAGGTTAATCCCAACGAACCCGACATCATTCTTGCATTGGACGGCAACTTCCAGCAGCGTCATTATGCATATGCAAGCAAAGACAATCCACCCGATGCACAATATCCTCCCAGCTTCATACCGCCATCAGACATATCAGTTGATGCCCGGTCATTTGTATCCACTGAAGTTTCTGCAATTGGCATCGATGTAAGCTTTGCAATATTCACAAGACCACATTTCAATCATGACACAGTCAGCTCAATTTTTTTTATGTTTATTGTTACAGCCTCCATGTGCTGATACCCACAAAGCAGCTAATGACAGTCGGGGTGAAACCACTTGGGAGAAATGTGACGACAATGGGTTGTTTGCCAGCACATGTCGCCATGATATCCCCCTGCTATTTGTAAATATTCACAAAACTGGTGAGAAGTAAGCAAAAATCAACTTTTGTCTGTCCCCTTCGAAACTTCAACACTGACAATCTTTCTTGCTATCTTGCTAGATTGTATTATCCAGTGTCAATCATCCGCAATATCCTAGCCGATTTCCCACAACACAAGGTTGGGATTCTATATGATCTTGGCTGCCATCTGGAGAGCCATGTGAGGAAGGTTAGTCCCAAAATGGCTGTACTCAGCTGTCTTGTTGTCAATCTTACTTGGAGCTTAGGATTCATTCTTTTTCTCATCAGCGTAACCTCCTGAGTAACCGACTGGCCGATCTCTCATTTGGCACGTCTGTATTTCATGCCTATGTGCATGAGTGGAGCTGCCAGGTCAAGTATAACCCTCGACTCAATCAATGGTGGGGGCTCTCAGATGGTGAGGGACTTGAGAGACTTTGGGCTTTTTTATCCCCTTTGGTCTCCGGGCTCCGCGTATCCACAAGATTACATCGGCTTCAAGCAATCCAATCGCGTGCAGATTATTACTCACAGCATTTGAATGAAATGGCTGGTAAGCATATTGGTTTTATCTTGATTAGTGGCACTACTACCACTAGCTGACACATGTTTTCCAGCCACATGGCTTTTGCAAAAACTGGATCATGCTGAAGAAGTTCTTGCTACAGCTGTGGTAGCTCTGGCCAAACTCCATAGTATTCCCAATCCACACACACCCGGAATCAACTACACCAACCAATTCTTGGAGCAGCAATGGAGCGAAGAGCAACAGTATCATCTCAACAGTGATTTGAGCACTGAGAGAAAAAGCATTGAGCTTGGCCGTCTTTTATGCTTGGAAGAAGAGTTGGACTCAGCATGGTAAGTGCTCACTGATTGGTTCTTGCCCCTATTGCTTATAGGATATTTACCTTGTGATTTAGGGAAACACTACCAATGACACCAGCACAAACACTCAGCCGTGCAATCACTTGTGCAACTGTTGCCAGGCAGCTTGAGGCCCTTCGAAGCGTGATTGGCAACAATGGGGTGGCAGATAACTTGAATGGTACCAGACCTGACTTAACTCTATTTCTTTATTTGGTACTAATCACATTGCATTGTAAACACTGCAGAAGCCCAACGGGACCAGTTGAGTAAGGTCTGGTACTCCAAAACAGAGTTGCGACGAAGCTTTTTGGCATTGGTTGAGGAAAAGCAACCATTACTTCGAGTTTGTCGACCAGGTGAAAGTAGTACACTAGGTAATGATAGAACCAATTTCTGCTGACCATGTGACATCCTGGCTGACTTGTGATGATATAGGGACACGCGGGCAGCAAAAAATTGCAGATTCACTGCACAAGAGAGCTGGTAAGCTCCGGACAGTGCTGGAGACTTACAACCGACACACCTTCGAGTTTATCGAAAGCTATCCTGATCGCCCGGCCCCACCAACAATCCAATACCCAGATCTGCTCAGACTCCAACCAGATGACTCATTCTGGAACGATGGCCTGTTCACCAATGCCAATGAGCCCTGGGCAGTTGATTCTCTTACACAGCAGGGCATACGATCGTTGGCTAGCTGCAAACGAGCAATTGAGGAAAAGCGGCGACTTGGCTGGGAGGCTAGACGAACCATGAGATGGGCAACTGAGCAACACCTTCAATTTTTGAAGCTCATCGAGGACTTGTTTGCGGTATCCGACAATCAGGCCAATCCTTCGGCTACTCTGAATCATCGTCATCCATTGTCTGCTCCTAATCAGTCCAATCCTTTGCCAACTCCTAATCACCCTAATCCTGAAGCTACTCCTCGAACGCTGCATTCACTCTTGACACATCCCTCGCTTGCAACAAATCAGACTAATGCGGCTAAAATCAATTCGGCCGCAATTATATTACACTCAGCCTTCATCTCAATATGCTCATTGCAGCTTGACTGGAATGACAAAATCTTGGATGTGTTTCAGAGAACTACCTCACAGGTTGGAGACAATGAACTACTGACCAAATGGCATCAACAAGTCAAAAGAATCAAGACGGCCCTTGCGTATGGCGTATTATCTGGAATCCCAGGTGACATGGATGTACGTTTGAAAATTGTGATGAATGGAGGGACAATCAACACTCTGCCTTTGCCTGTTGAGGATGACACAAATGAGGATGATGCTAGTGAGGAAGCATATCATGCTGATGTAGAAAATATTCTTAGTGAGACAATGCTTGTAGACCTTGCTCAAGATACAGGTACCAATGTTGCACAATGATTTTCTGTTGAAATTTCGCTTGTCTCTCTCTTCTTTCCTTTCACTCACCTGTCACAATCTTATTCAACGGCCATTGTCTTTTCTTTTTTATGCCATGAGTTCTTAGACCCACAACTTGAACCTCTTGTAGTTAGAATATTTAAATCATATTGACTGCAGCTTGAAAATGAAAAAAAACCATCGGTTCTGTATTCTTTTATGAGCCTTTCCTGAAGAAGCACTTTTAGCCCTTCTTCGGTCTTAGTTGTGAAGCACTTGAGCCCTTCCAACTGGAGTTAAAAGTATTATTTTTTCCGGCCTTTTCGCCAAAAATTCAACATTTTCTGATTATTATATATATCTTTGGTTGTTTTTTATAAATTGTTTCACTTCATATGTAATAGTACTTTCAGATTTACGCAAGTCATCCAACCTGAAGCAAACTTTCCCACCTTAACAAGCAGATTTGGCAGCATTGAAAAATTGAAATTCTCATATTTACAGGCTCCATAATCCATTAGCAAATCAAATGAGACAATAATATCCATCATGAACTACATTGTTGACCATGCAAAGCAGCACCAAAGCATCCAAAATCACCTGGTTTCAATGGACCAGTGGGTCCTTGTGAACTGATGCTGTTCTTGCTCAAATTTCTTTATCTACATCAATATTTATCCATTCTATGATTAGTCAACATGATATACTTCTGTTTTGTGATGAATTTAAAAAAACAATTGACAAACATGTGATCCTGTTATATCAATCAGGTCACTGCATGGCCTGATGTTGGGTACTTCAACAACTATGAATGTGGTACTGCTGAAGCAAATATGCAGCTTTGATGCTGGATCAAGAATATGTGAAATGGGAAATTAAATGCCCACACATATTTCATATGCAATTTGGTGATTGTTATTTATGGAACTTGTGAAGTGTGATTTGAGGAATGGCAAATGGAATGACAATATTGGAATACAATCAATGGTTGTTATGAATGTTGGAATTTGCTGATAGATTTTTAAGGACTGTGAAATGGCCAATTCCATGACATCATTCAATCACTATAAGTGAGCTTTATGACTATTGGCATTGGTTAATTGTTATTTGAGGAATGTCAATGAATACTGACTTTGGAAATCTGCCACAGCTGTGATAAAATGTAACTAATTTAGCTCAGGTAGAAAGGTATGAATAAGTTTTCATTTTATTGACTAAGTGGTTCACTGACTCACTGAATCAGTCAATCTGGACAACCAATATCATCCAACCATTCAATAGAGATGGCCCCGTTGCATCCGGATATCCGCGCGGATGCGGATATCCGGCTGCCTTTTCAGGGGGAAGCCACATCCGCACCCGCAACCGCAACCGCGGGCGGGTATCCCCCCGCCTGAGCGGGTATCCGAGCGGGTATCCTCGGATAACCGGCCTTTAACTGGCCGGCGAGGCACATCCTTGCCGGCTGGAAGGGCTTCCTTCCAGCCGGCGAGGCATGTACCTCGCCGGGTGGAGGGTTTCCCTTCCACTCGACGAGG